CATCTCAAACAAGCCTATTGTAGGTACGACGGCTAATCAAAATGGTACTTACTTGCGCTTATCCGGATTGTTCAAACCGACTTAAAACTAAAAGATTACGTTCTCTCGCGCGAACTCATTCGTGAGTGGTGACTTTCCACGTATTCCCAACTTCTGAGCCTGCTCGCCTGAAGTTATGGTTGATTGCTCTTCGGCTGGATATCAACACACCCATTAACGTAAACTACGCCAGAGCGCGTACACACCTCACGCACCAGATGCCGTGCGCGCGCTGAAGGCAGTTGGACATAGTGTTGTATTAGAGGTAAAAAATGATATAAATACTGTTCGGTTTCTGGCACAAACCGATCGTTTCGTGTCTTAGGACATCAGTGTGTCGTCACGAGCCGCAGGGTTTAATTTTGATTTGTCTGTGCATGTTTTTTTTACTCTCATAGATTTTGTTACCATTGCCATGCATTATAAGACTGATAGACTGCAACGGTTGGACTTAAAAATCATCATATGTGTTCTACTGAAGAAACAAAGTCACCTACATCTTGGATGCCCTGGGGGTAAGCAGATAAACATCAAATTTTCATTTTTGGATGAACTATCCCTTTAAATTGAGGTGACGTGAGTGTATTCTGACTGCTTCGAATGTCTCATCAGAATTTAGACTCAGAACTACTAGTTTTATCACGTCACATTTCCTTAGGACTGGACAATTTAATTAAATTTTTAGTTATGGCTTCCAATGATAGGAAACAAGATAATCAAGATAAAACAATTGTGCCTTAATAAATTGTGCAAAAATTGCATTTCACAATAATGCTCTTGTTTTGTCTTCTTATAAATTCTGCGCACCCCTTACAACAGTGTGCTTTGCTCTTCCCTAAATGTTTAGTAGTTGTCAGTAGGTTGTAAAAGTGAATTACAGCATAGTTGTTTTTTTTGTTTTAAGTAATTTTTTTTCAGTGTTCTCTTAGTATCGAGACATAAAACTATAGTTTTATTTATAGTTTGAATAAGTTTTTATTTTATATTTTTAATTAAATTAACATTTTCTTTTTGTTCATTTTTGTTAAAGTAAACAATGTGAAATGTTTTCTTCGCAACTAGATGGGAAATTTTTTTTTTATATATATATATATATATATGTGTATGTTTTAGTTAACTGTAATAACCCTAGTGGAAGTAAAAAAACAAAACAAAACAGAATCAGATCTCAGTATTGACCAAAGCAATCGTTATTATGATTTTTTGCCATAATCGAGCAGCCCTTCCTTTACCTTTAAATAAAAAGAGAAAATTGATAAGATGAGGCATTGTGTATTTAACTCCCTAGATTTTCTAAAGAGCTCATGCAGTTGTACGATCTGCGTCTCATTGGCTTTGTGTGTTTGGTTGGCAGGCAGAAAAGGTTCACGCGTTAAACGAGGAGATCGGAAAGCTGCTGGCGAAGGCTGAACAGCTCGGCGCTGAGGGAAATGTGGATGAAGCCCAGACAGTTCTACATGAGGTTGAGAGAGTCCGAACTAAGAAGAAGGATGCAGAGGTTAGCCAACATACATTCACATATATTGCATTGATTGATCAAAATGTGATTTTTTTTTTACAGTCTGATCTCTCTCTCACTCTAGTGGGAGTTTGTAGTGTTTTCTGGATGAGTGTCTTCTCTTTGTAGCATCATCATTTGCTCTGGTTTATTTACAGGAAGAGTACAGGAACTCTATGCCCGCCTCCAGTTTCCAGCAGCAGAAGTTGCGCGTCTGTGAGGTTTGCTCTGCCTATCTGGGTCTCCATGACAACGACCGGCGTCTCGCTGACCACTTTGGTGGCAAACTGCACCTGGGCTTCATTCAGATCAGAGAGAAGCTGGAACTGCTGAAGGTATCGGGTCGGACCAACCAAGGTGCCGGCGGGGGTCATTGGTTTCGAATAGTAAGTGACATTGCAGCATTTCATCTTTACAGAAAACCGTGCAGGACAAACAGGAGAGGAGGAACCAGGAGCGACTGAAGCGGAGGGAAGAGCGGGAGAGAGAGGAGAGAATGAAAAAGCGGTGAGAATATTTTATGCACATCATATGACCTTTGTGCATTTCTAAGATTCCTAATTTTTGTAAATTATTCTGTAGAATCTAAAATTATCTTGTGTGGTTTGCCAGTGCATTTTTATATTACGTTTTTTTATGTGTGTTAAAATATATTTAAAAATCAAAGATATTGGCTGTTAAAATCATTATTTTTGAAAATATTTTATGCACATTTTCATGTGACCATTTCTAAGATTCCTAATTTTTATGAAATGTAATGTAGAGGTTATCTTTTGTCTGGTTTGCTAGTTTTTTATTTATTATTTTTATATGATATATTTAAATGTGTATATATTTCCTCTAGTTTTGTACCCTTTTATAAGTTAAAGTATATTTAAAATGTAAGGAAATCCACCGTTATAAATAATAATTTTTTATATAATAATATTTGACATAATCATTTCTGTTTTCATGTGACCTTCATGCATTTCTGAGATGCTTAATTTTTGTGAAAGAATCTGAAGTTATCTTCGTCTAGTATGCTGATTTATTTTTTATTATTTTTATGATATATTATTTTTACATTTATTTTGTTTGTTGAAATAAAAAGTTCAAGGAAACCCACTGTTAAAAAGACAAGTTTATTTTTAAAAGATTCAATAAATGTATGATTAATCAGTTTAAATAATAGTGATCTCAATATTGACCAAAATAATTATTCTTCTCTGGTTTTCCCTGTAGGACCAAGTCGCGTAGCCGAGAACGCAAGAGGTCAGTTGCTCATTCACTTGTTCATTCAGCATTTATTTTCATGGCAGCTTATGTCTATTGTCAATTATTACAACAAACATGCAAATCAAGGTCTGTGATTAATTCATATAGTGGCAACAAGAATATTTCTCTAATCTCATGCATGTACCAGTTCATGTCTGTTTTTCCTCTCCTTGTGTTTCTAGGTCGCGTTCTCGTGACCGCGATCGAGAGCGCAGACGCCGGCGTTCCCGCTCCGCATCGCGAGAGAAACGCCGTTCCCACTCTCGCTCCAAAGAGCGCGACAGACGCCGGCGGCACCGTTCCAGATCCCGCTCGCGGCACAGCCGAGAACACTCACACAAGTAATAACAATTAATACTTTCTCGCTCAAATGAAGCTTTGAAAAGCCTGAATTGTGGTTTATTACAGTTTCTGAAATTAATTTATTTTTTGCAATTTAATAATTATTTTTATTTTATTATTTAAGAACAATAATTTAAATTATGGATGCACGATATTATCGGACCAATATCGGAATTGGCCGATAATGACTTTAAATATAAATATCGACATCGGCCCGATATGAACAATTATGCCGATTTGTCTTGCCGATAAGAGGAATACATTAACTCACATGTGCTCAGGGGTGCTCAATCATGAGTATGTTTTGATTTAAAGGTCAGAAGCTATAGCTTACATGAACAAACAAAAAAAAACAAAAAATCACAAACACGACACTTTAATTAAATAATTGTATATATACTGATTTATTTATTAATGTGTAATACGTTATATTTTTTAAACAAATTAATGAGCTCTAAAAGATTTTCAGAATTTTTACAACTCTTTTGCTTTAGACCATTTACTAATGTTAAACCATAAAATAAAATGTTAAGGTTACCACTGCATCTTTCTGGGAAAAAAAAAAAAAATCCAGTGATTAATATATTGTTTATTTATAGTTATTTTCAAATGTTCAATGTACTGTAATTATAAAATAACTTTTTGTTTTTGTTTATTGTTTATTTAATTCTAACAAATAAGTTCTTGTTAAAACTAGCCAATATTAAAATAATTATATATCGGTATCGGCCAAAATTAGTTGAAAATTATCGGCATATCGGATATCGGCAAAAATCCAATATCGTGCATCCATAATTTAAGTTGTTCTTAAATATTTTTTAGTTTCTGTTTTAAATAAATACATCAAGTATGGTTTCCACCATAAAAAAACAAAGCCTCCATGATCTTGTAGTAACAGTGGATTGATGTGTGTCTTAGGTCTTCACGGGACCGTGATCGCGAGAGGGAGAGCAAGCGCAGCTCATCCGAGCGGAGATCAGACGGACTGAACGGGAGGACGGAGTCTCGCCGTCATGATGACAGAGAGGCTGGAGAGATCTGAATCATCTCACTCTACCACAACAAACACGCACAGCGCGCTCTCATACATATACCCACTTTTTTTATTTATCATGTTTGCTTGGTCCGTAGTAAACTGCCCACGCCCTGTTTCATTACAGTCGTTGTAGTCTTTAATATCTCAGTCCAGTGAGACTTAAACCTGTCGGATTCACTGTCAAATGTTGAAATGACAATATTGTGTGTGTGGAGTGAAGGTTTTTTTTGCCCCTCCATAATGTCTGTTATTTTTTGGGATTTGGGTTTGTCCTGAGTGGATGTGTGCATGTTTTGCTGAAAGCTGTTCTGAGGTCAGTCTAAACGCCCTTTCTTTAAATATATCTGCAGTATTTCCCCCGAGAGACAGAGAGTGACTCTCTTTGTATCAGCAGCAGAGTTCAATAAATCTAAACAAGTGAATCCGTCATGGCATATTGTTTGATTTACTCTGTACATGATCTTTTGTAAGGCTGTTTTGATTTCATGTTGCCCTTAACAAAGTACATTAAATGGTTTTATGACTTTAAATTGTGTTTGTCATTAATGAAGGAAATTATACGTCCTCCGTTTATTAGTTGGATAAGTCACTTTAACGGGTCGGTCTTTTTTACTAAAGCTGAATGCCTGAGTATTGTAATATTGAAGCTGTTTTATTTCTTTAGCCTGTAAATGTAATACAAAATAAACGTTTAGAAATATTTTACAAAATATCTTTGGCAGAGTTACAGCGTTTTGGAAAATTGTTCTTTCTTTTTTGCTGCAATTAATTGAATATGAAATAGGGATTTTATACATTTAAAAATGTTACGTTTTCATGTTAGATTGCAGTTGATCAAACCGATCTAATGTGTCTTAAAGGTTTTTTTCAGTTTGTGTGAAGGATGCATTTCACTACTGATTTACAAAATCATTAGTTATTGTGTATTAAAATGAACTTAAAGATAAAACAATAGAACACCTTTTTAAATGTGTTTATTATATCACTAGTGTTACGTTTCTGTACGTCGCCGACAGCTGGCGTCATTACGCTGCCCACGGGCTGTAGATCGTCACCTCCGGCAACGTCACCGTGACGGCTCAGTCAAAACAACCGAAACATGATGCTAGCGTCTCACACCCGCGAGTGAAATGTCGTGTTTTTAGCGCTCGCCGATGAAAACGTCGGAGATTTGTCACCCTAATGTCATGATCGTGTCGGACTATGAGTTTGGCAGCGTTTTATTCGGAATAAGGGATCGAAAAGCGATCATAAAAGCACCAGCGCCGCGACCGGTTTGCTAACGACAGGCGTCAGTTCAGCAGTCAAACCCGGTACGCGTGAAATTATGCATATTTTACTTCTAAAATATGGAATATAAAGTCAAATGGGCTGCGTTAAACTAATTAAGCCGCCTGTAGACGTACAGATGTGTCAGTCACGTGTCATTCTACAGAGTTTGTCTACTAATCACCATGTAATAATTAGTTCTACTCGATTTGAATGATTCAGTCTCGGTTTTGCTCAAATGATATGAGTTGTATGTTCACTATACTGCTGGAGGAGTTTGAATCATCTGCCACAGCTGTCCAGGGCTGATCAGAGTCCAGATGTGTGTGTTATGTGCATTCTGTAGGCTGTAGATGTATGTAGTGTAGTCCTGATATGTGTAATGTTGTGTATTATTGAATGTAAATTGATATGTGTGTGTTTGGTGTGTCCCTGCAGTGTGAGAGGCTTGCAGGTATCTGGGGTCCCCGGGACAGGCCGGTGCTCACCGAAGAGACGGGGAACAGGATCGGTAAGCAGGGGGGAGCGGCCACCGCAGAGCCCGTGGAGAAGATGGCGAGCAGCCCAGAGAAAAGCTCCTCCGCACAGGAGCTCAAGGAGCAGGGCAACCGCCTGTTCCTCAGCCGCAAGTACCAGGAGGCTGCCACCAGCTACAGCAAGGCCATTGTGAGTGGAGCAGGAGTTTGTCAGTTTAGAGGAAATTTACAAGCACAATGAGAGAAAACAATCGTACTGACACCAAACTGTTGACATTTTTATGCACATTTGATTGACAAAAAAAACAATCGTACCTACACCAAACTTTTGAAATTTATATGCACATTTGATTGACAAAAAAACAATCGTACTGACACCAAACTGTTGAAATTTATATGCACATTTGATAGAGAAAAAAAATCTTACTGACATCGAACTTTTGAAACTTATATGCACATTTGATAGACAAAAAAAAAAATCGTACTGACACCAAACTGTTGAAATTTATATGCACATTTGATAGAAAAGAAATCGTACTGACATCGAACTTTTGAAAATTTGAAAAAAATTAGAATCTTTTGAAAATTTGAACAATTGTGATTCGTGATGTTGTATTATGTTGAATATCAAAGTTTATTTGTGTATGTTTGTTAATGAGGAATTTGTGGACACATCAGAGTTTTTAGATTTGTGGAGTAAAAATTATTAATTTATTATAATTTATAATTATTTTAAATGATAAAATTCATGCTGTGGGGTAAGATGGCACAGCAGAATTGGCACAGAAGGCCTCAAGTGGCATTTTGTTACTAGTGATATTATTATTTTTAAATGTAATACTTATTGTAATTAATAGGGTTAATATTCAATATTTCTATGAATTAGATTTGCATTTCAAACATATTTGCTTTGCACTAAAACCTAGGCTAATTAAATAAAATCATTTCATTTGAATATGTAAATATTAATTTGCCTGTATTTAAGTCATAGACTAAATTTACCTTTCAGAAGAACCTTTTTTACTGGGATTCTGCTTTGTCTGTCATCGGTTAATTTCATCTCTCATGTATATATATATATATACAGTGGGTACGGAAAGTATTCAGACCCCCTTAAATTTTTCACTCTTTGTTATGGCTTTATTTTCACCAAAGAATGCTAATAGATGCATCACAGTTTTCAGAAAAATATGAAGCAGCACAACTGTGCTCAGAGTTCATATAATATTTACATGCATGTTTGTCATTCAGTAATGCATTTAACTCATCAAGTGGAGATTGTCTGGATATTCTCAAAAAAAACCCACGTAATTTTTCTAGGAATGATCAGAGTTGTGCTGTTGTACTGAAGATGTTTCTGCTGTGCTGTGTGTAGAATCGTAACCCGTCAGTGGCCGTGTACTACACTAACAGAGCGCTATGCTACGTGAAGCTGCAGCAGTACGACAAGGCACTGGCCGACTGTAAACACGCCCTCGAGCTCGACAGCCAATCGGTGAAGGCCCACTTTTTCCTGGGCCAGTGTCAGCTGGAGCTGGAGAATTATGAAGAGGCCATCGGCAATCTACAGAGAGGTACACACGGAATGTTTATGGAATTTGAAAAAAAAAAAAAAAGATTTAAGAAATAAGTTACACATTTAAATTAGAATTTTTAAAAATGTTTTTTTATATGCTTTTAATAGGATATTTCACCCAAAAATAAAAATTCTATCATCATATACTCGTCCTCGTTGTTTTAAACCTGACTATTTCTTTTGTTAAACACAAATGTAATTATTTTTTTAAATTAATGGCACTCTCTCGCTCTCTCTTTGTCTCTCTCTATTTTCAGTATATATAGATAGATGGATAATGCATATATTAAATACATATATTTAAAGATAAAAAACTCTCTTTCTGTGTATATTTACACAGTACTTGTCAAAAGATTGGAAACATTACTATTTCAAATGTTATTAATGAAGTCTCTTCTGCTCGCCAAGGCTCAAAAATAAAGTAAAAACAGAAATAATGTGAATTATTATTATTATAATTTAAAATAACTCTTTTATGTGTGAATATATTGTAAAATGTAATTTATTCCTGTGATGCGCAGCTGTATTTTCAGCATCATTACTCCAGTCTTCAGTGTCACATGATCTTCAGAAAGCATTCTAATATGCTGATTTGCTGCTCAAGAAACATTTCTGATTATTATCAATGTTGAAAACAGTTGTGCAGCTTCATATTTGATCAGAAACCATGATATATAATATCATTCAAATGCTGTGTTTTTTTTAATAGAAATTAATGTTTTTATTCAGCAAATATGCATTAAATTGATCAAAAGTGACCGTAAAAACATTTAATGTTACAAAATATTCTATTTCAAATAAATGTTCTTTCTATTCATCAAAGAATCCTGAAAAATTATTAAACAGCAAAAACTGATTTTAACAGATAATAAGAAAAACCATTATTAATAATTGAACAGCAAATCAGCATATTGCTTTCTGCAGCAGTTTTCTGTTGTATGTGATGTTTGGTGTCATTTGAAGCACATTTTCAGGTTTTGTTATTTATAATGTAACTCGGTCTCTAATAATGTACATTTGCATCCAATATATTGATTATTGAGCTAATAATATAAATAATTATCCATCATCAGCATCGGTGCATCCCTAAAAAGCTTCATAGAATGATCCAGACGTCTAAACAGACATCAGATAGTTGCAGTGTGATGAAGTCGCTCTTTGAAATGCTTTTCAGCTTATAACCTGGCGAAGGAACAGCGGCTGAATTTCGGAGACGATATCCCAAGTGCTCTTCGCATTGCCAAGAAGAAACGCTGGAACAGCATAGAAGAGAAGCGAATCAGCCAAGAAAACGAGCTGCATGCATATCTCACCAAACTCATCCTGGCCGAGAAAGAGAGGTGCCGCTCACATCAGTCAGTCATGCGGATCTGCGTTTAGAAATCTGTGCTGTAACACCTGTCCGTCTCTGTGTTTGTGGGTGTTTTCAGAGAGCTAGACGACAGAGTGAAGCAGTCAGAGGACAGTCAGAACGGCGGCAAGATCAAATCCAAACACGTGAGACACGCATTTAAATACACACACACAGCTCTGAACGGTGGGCGTTTGATGAAGTGATGTCATTTCCTGTGCTCTGTGCTGCTTCTGCAGGATAAATATTTGATGGACATGGACGAGCTTTTCTCTCAAGTAGATGAAACGAGGAAGGTATGCATCTCAAGACTTTGTGATGAAGGTCTCACACTGAAATATGATTGGT